GTGGAGGAGAATGTATAACTATTTTTTCTTTAAACATTTTGCTACTCTAGTTTCTAGAAGTGACCAATGAAAGTGTTGGCAAAATTCAAGCTAGGTTAGCATGACAGAGGACATAAACAGAAAAAGGATCTCATCAATAAAATGAGGACAAGGCTGTTAGTTGTGGATCTGGTAGTGGATTATATAGAAATGCAAGACAATTTCAGTGTGGTCCTTGCCTCAGATCTTAACGAAAAGATCATCATAGAATCATAGAATAGTTTGGTCTGGAAGGGACCTTTAAAGGTCATCTAGTCCAACCCCCCTGCAATGAGCAAGGACATCTTCAACTAGATCAGGCTGCTCAGAGCCCCATCCAACCTGACTTTGAATGTTTTCAGGGATGGGGCATCTACCACCTCTCTGGGCAACCTGTTCCAGTGTTTCACCATCCTCATTGTAAAAAATTTCTTCCTTCTATCTAGTTTAGATCTACCCTCTTTTAGCTTAAAACCATTATCCCTTGTCCTATTGCAACAGGCCCTGCTAAAAAGTTTCTCCCCATCTTTCTTATAGACCTCCTTTAAGTACTGGAAGGCTGCAGTAAGGTCTCCCTGGAGCCTCCTCTTCTCCAGGCTGAACAACCCCAACTCTCTCAGTCTTTCTTCATAGGAGAGATGTTCCATCTCTCTGATCATTTTTGTGGCCTGCCTCTGGATGCGCTCCAACAGGTCCATGTCTTTCCTGTGCTAAGGACTCCAGAGTTGGATGCAGTGATGTTGAGCACAGGGGCAAGATGGGAATGAAAAAATGAACACAGACTTTCTGCAGCTTAGATGAAAGAAATCTCAGTGACAATCACACTGAAACTGGATCCACACAGGTATTCTGAAGAATGTGCACATGACTTCCTGGGCTTATTGGCCAGTAGGATTAACTCATCTGTCAATTGAAGAAGATACACTATTTCTGTAGAAAAATTGATGTAGTAGTTATGTTCATAAAAGGAGGAAGAGGCAGGAGGGAAGGACTGAGTCTTGCCACTGCAGGAGGTTCAGCTGATGTCTGGAGCATGAAAGGCTTTAGAAGAAGTTTTGAAAAGAACAACTAATAGCACGGAAACTAATTGTTAATGTGATAAAAAGGGAGAGTGTGTCACACTTCTCTGATCTCCTTCTGATATCTTCTGTAATTCCTTGAAAGAAATATGAATTTGCTACATAAAGGAAACAGTGGAGACCTGCTATATCTGGAGTTCCATAGATAATTTGATATAGGGTGCTAGGGGGTTAAACTGAACCAGAAGGGGATAATAGAAGCATTTGAAAGTAGACAGTGGAATTTATGAAGATAACAATGTTAACACTGAGAGAAGTAGGCTGGAAGAAGGATTCTGTGGAGTTGATCATGGATTGATTTTTGGATTAATGTTTTCATTTTTTTTTGCATCAATTATCTTGGCACAAATACTAGCAATGTGCTAAAAATTTGATGATGATATTCACTAGGTGGCATAGTCAATACAGAGGACGATGAGGAAATCAGACAGAAAGAACTAGATGACAGTAATAAAAATGGAATGCAATTTAATAGTGCCATGTTCAAAGACATTCACTAGGGAATTAATATGAATAACTGCTGTTAGCTAAAAGCTTATACAAACCAAGGATGAGAACAACTTGAGTGTATCAGATGTCCTCTGAGCTACTCTGAGCCACTATGTGATATGAGCAGGGGAAAACCAAACATGATATTAGTGCATTCCAGGTATTTCCCATAGAGGTTGAGATGTGTTACTGCCTTGATACCATGTGCTTGTGAGAGCTCATTGGAAATATAGTGTCTCATATTCAAGAACAAGGAATTTCACCTGGAACAGCTGCAGAGAAGGGCTGTCAGGGAAAGGGAGAACCTGAAAAGAAATCAGAATGATCTTGGCTTCTCTACCCTGAGAAACTGAAGTCTGAGATGAGAAGCAAAGGAGAAAACACCAGAAAGGGAAAAATAGCTATTAAGCAGGATAAGGCTACCTACAAAGGAATGGGAACTGCGAACTCTGGGAACTGGTGGCTCTGACTATGAAAAGGATAGAAATGTGCAGTGGGTGAAGCAATGAAGATAACACCTGCATGGTAACTGTAGGAAAGAAGTGTCACTTTTGGTTGAGTGGACTGTCTAGAGGTGCAGGGAACAAAGCAGTAAGATGAGGTGCCACGTGGACTGCATGTACACATCCACAGCCTCACACTGAAGCTATTTCACTGAGAATTTTGGCATTGGTGAGACACATCTGGAGTGCTGTGTCCAGTTTAGGGCTCCCCAGTACAAGAGAGACATTGACAAACTGCAGTGAGTTTAGTGAAGGGAGACCAGGATGGTTGGGCTGGAGTATGTGATATTCGAGAAGAGGATGAGAAAACTGGGTTTGTTTAGCCTGGGAAGAGACCTGAAAGGGAAACCAATACTGTCTTCAACAATTATAGCGGGATCAGAGCTGCATTTCCTCAGCGTGCACAGCAAAAGGATGAGAAGTTACAGTCACAAGGTGCAGGAAGGGAAATTCCAACTAGATATAAGAAAAAAAAATTCAGAAAGTGTTTGGGCACTGGAACAGGCTGCCCAGAGAATACTGGAAAAGGCCCTCAGCAACCTCATCTAACCTTGAGAATGGTACTGCTGCAGGTGGGTAGTTAGATGGCTGAACCAGAGGATCCCAGGGTGGACCTTCAGAGGTTCCTTCCAGCTTAAATTATTCTGTAATTCTACCATACTGATTTCACAAAGGAAGAGGAGATGTTCGGCAACGATTTCATCAAGAGCAAGGAAAGAATAAAGCTTCCTGAACTCGGTGTAGCATTTTCTTATCCCAGATTTAGTGCCAAAACACCAGTACACCTGGGTGTAGATCATCATTCCTGACCTAATGAGCATGAAATTGGCTCTGCACATACAAGCCTACACACAGGCTTGGACTTTGGAGTGCTGGAACTTGTGAAGAGCATGGGAAATTATAGTGGTCAAGACGGGCAGTAAATACTTGAATAAAACAATTGAATTAAGTGGGATTTTTAGAGACCTTTATCCTGAAGACTGTTTAGTGATAACAGAAGAGCACTGAAATGAAGAGTCATTCATACCTTCATTC